GCCCCCCGCGAAGAGGANGAAAAAAAGGGANGAGGGGGGNGGGGAGGGGGAGGAGGGGGAAAGAGGATGGGGGTGGGGGGGGGCAATGCGAAGCGGGAGAGGAGAAAAAAATATAGGAGAGGGAGGGAAAAAAACGTTCGAGAGAGACGCATAAATCAGAGAGACGAGCCAGCTTCACTCGAGCACGGCTGACTGAGCCCTGCTGCTGTTGCTGCGCTGCATCCCGACTCTGTGTGTGTGTGTGTGTGTGTGTGTGTGTGTGTGTGTGTGTGTGTGTGTGTGTGCGCGCGCGCGCGCGTGCGTGCGTGCGTGAGCGCGCGGAAAGCCAGGGAGAAAAACAGCCGCCGCCGCTGCTAACCACAGTCACCACGGCACATTAGAGGGCCATTAGAACGCGATTATACTCCCAGTGCTTACCTCTCATTCACACTCCTGCTCTCTCCCATTCAGCCTCACACACATAATCACCCGCACACACTTCCCTCATCACCATAAATGTGTCCAACTAACATGCGCAACTATAAAGCAAGGCAGGAACGAGCGTGGCACGAAGATACCGGTTTCCACAGTTCCCTCCCCCCCACCTCCCACAAAAAAAAAANTTGCGGGTTTTCTCTTGGTTTCTTTTTTTATTTTAGAGAATTTTGTTTTTTTTTTTTTTTTTTTTTTTTTTAGCGATCACATGCGTAGCTAGCATGATCCGTGATTTATGAGCGAACAGAAGAAGTTCAGAGACTCGCCTTTGCCATGTCAGCGTTTTTTATGGCCGATTATATATCAGAACAGCAGAATTTGGCTTTCCTGAAAGTGAGGAGAAAGTGCGGTAACATCGGGCGCAGTAACAGGTTGGGGAGGGGCAGAACTGGGTTGTTATCTACACTCCGTTCAGCTAGAAGGAACTTTCTTTAAAAATGCTTAAAATCTTTCCAACAGTAATGTAGTGCTACTTTATTTTAGATTCTAAAATATTAACTTTTCAAAACCTTCTTATACCTTTAGGGCAGATTGTCCTCAATACTCCTTTGGATCACACCATCTGCCGCCAGTCTGATGACCTTTGAAGTAATTGCGCCTTTCTACGTTAACCAAACCCTGCCACTGTACAGACTTCCCTTCAAAGTTTCGTCGTCACAGAAGCCGGTCCAACAGGGCGCTTCAGGTGAAACCGAACTTTTGTCTTCCGCTTGGATCGCATCGATCTGACAGCCGAGCTCAGAAGCGATTCACCGGAGGAGAATAAATGACAGATTGCACCTTTATCTGAGCCTTCAGCGGGCAGAGCTGAGGGGCCCCCGATCA